TCATTAGTGCCCCACTAAAGTGAAGTAAGGTTTAAGGTCTTCTTCTGATCCTGATGGATAATGTTCTTTTCATTCTCTTTGTATGATGTGATTTCACCATGTAGACGACCACACAGAGGGACCAACAGGGAGGACTCTAAAGAAAAGAGTTGAAGCATGTGTGTATGATATTAGCAGATAACTTGGCACATGAGTAGACTGAAGCTTTTTCTATTAGTCAAGGGATGTTAAACACATTATAATGATGGTAATTTTTTAATAAAACATTGTCATCTCTTTTAACGGCCTTAATCTGAAGAATTAAGTTCAATTCTGACAAAACTGAAGTCCAAGCAGGATCAAGACCAAAGTGGATTTATGCCGTCTTAAAATGACTCCAGTCTCAAAATGTTTACAGTGATGCGTGCAAACATACAAGTTCACTGAGATGCAGCATCACCAAACTGTACGTCTGGTCAGCCTGATGGTCTTCATGTCTTGCAACTGTATAAAGTGAAATGGAAGGTGGTATAAAGGTTTAAACAGTATTTATGTTACTTTATAGTCTGTGAGGTTGTAGTTGTCTTAAGCTGCATCGGTCCACATTGGTTGTGGCCTTGCTTAGCATAGTGTGGTAAGAAATAAACTCCAATTTTTAAACTGACACCAGTCAACTAACTACCTCTAACATCCAACGTATTAATTGTTCCAACAGTTTCCACACAGCAAAGATTCAAAACATCATTTTAAAATGCGCTCACAACTTTTTGCACACTTTAAGAAAAAGAAGAAACAGTGCTACAATCATCAAAGCAATGTATTTCTGTTTTATTGTAGTACTCATAGTTGCTTAGACACGTGTATATACAAATACAGATCATTTTCCTCTCAAATGTTCTTGTTTACATACTGTAAAAGAGCAGGTTGGAAACATTCCCCACTGATGGAAAAGTAGAAGTGGGTTCAAAGGTGAAAGAGGAAGGACAGGAAGTGGGGGTGTTACAAGCACAAAGGGGAATGAGGCAAGACGTGAAATGAACAAGTGCTTGATCAACAACAGGAGAGTAAAGAGGCTTTGCCCCATGTGCACGGAACCAGGATCGATGATAAGCTTTTCCCCGCTAACAATCCAGTTCAGGATTTGATAGAGGGGGGTGCACTAATCCTTGAACTGTGCCTAGGACCACTGTCTACCGTAAGAAAAAAAAAAGTGAATTTGTTACAAAAAAAGGGAGAGAAAAAGAAGAGCCCTGTTGTAGTCTCTTGGATGCCAGCAGCTGCTCCATGTAAAAGCACAATGGCAGAAAGCGTCTTGAACACGGACGGGGCTGCCAGGGCACAGGCTGAAGGGCTAAGGCATGGGAAACACTCTTTGCTGCCAAAGAGGGTTGTTGCTTCCCATTTACTACAGCAACAGTAAATGACACAAACACACATACAGAGTCAAACCTATAGAGCTCACACGTTTTTTTTTTTCCACACTGAAAAATGTCCACGTCGATGTATCTCACTCACAAACTCCTCGTCTTGGGTGCGTTGAAAGAGAGTAAATAGGCTGAGGAGACATGGGGTGAATACCACAGAAGGGCACAGAGACATTTTTAGTCATTTTAGAAAAATAAAGAAGTTGCTTTTGAACTACAAAATGACTAAATGTACTACAACGTCACAATGGCTTGTGTTATGTACATTTGCCGTGTGTAAGAACACACGTCGACGTCACCCAAATGGAGATGCAAGAAACACACAGTGTGAAAGGGATCATTAAACCTAATATCTCTGAAAGAAAACAGCAGAAAAATAAAATTAATAAAAAACTTTGATTTTTTTTTTTATACATGTTATTAAGTTCATGCGCATGCCACATAATGAATCTGGTGAATCCTTTCGATAAAAAACGTCCTCTCAAAGATCATCTTTGAGCCAAATAACATGCTCTCAAACCCCAGAAAGGCAAAAAAAAGTACAAATAGGCATTTGATTTAAGTCCCAAGTGTTTCTTTCCAAGGCAGGATACTCAAATGAAGAGATGATGAAGGTTGCTGACTGCTTTGAAACATGTAAAGGTGATCCTCCCATTGGCTTCTGTCCAGCCTTCTGTACATCCATGTGTACAGTTCTAGCAGGTTTCCTCTTTGCATTAGTCTCTTTAGGCATTGAGGATTAAAGCACACAATGCGTTGTTTTAGAACAGTACACACTCCGCAAAACCCAGAGATAATACGATATTCATTTTTTAGAAAAGACATAAGAATCAAATTAATACTTTAATATCAAACACTATTTACATCAAGAAGTATTCCTAATAATAATAATAGTCATAATCATTATCATCATACCAATAATAATAATAATTATACAGGTTTAACAATGAATTATCTTTTTTTTGTCCTCCAGAAAGGTACAAAACAGATACTAACCTAACACTACATGTTTTATGGTTGACTACCTCAGGATACACGGTATCCAGTATTTATGTTGATCCTTATTTCCCAGGTTAAGGTGTGTGCAGTATAAATCATGATAACAAGAACAAATAGCATCAGTTATTGTAAGAAAGTGTAGTTGAAGCTGGTTTCTGACAAAAGTCTACCGCTAATCTGCTGACGGGCGTTCATTTTGAATCTTATGCAGTGCTCATTCCCCATGGTGAAAGTCTAAAAATTAGTACCTCATTAAATGGTCTCCTCTCCTATACCTCTCTTAGCCGAGCTGCTATTCTGCTGTAAAAGCAATGTTACCATAATACAAAAATTTGCCAAAGGCAAAGGCTGTTTTTATTAGAAAAATTTGGGAGAATGACAGAACAAATAGAAAAATAAACAGCTACAAAAATGGAAACATGGCAAAAACAAAACAGTGCATGCTGTTGAGCCTGAATGGTACTAGACGGCACGTTTGCCTTTAAATTAGGTGTTCTATCCTGCTGTGTTGCGTGGATTTGTACTTGTTTTGTCTTGAGTTGTTTGGTTAAGCACTAATCACACTACATTCAGCTAACTTTCAGGTCTAAATTTGTGTCTTTCTGTCTCCGTCACTCACCAATTCTGTAAGGTCATTGGTGCTCTAAACCCCCCACAGTGAACATCTACACCTCGTCTCCTGAGACATCGTTCTCATACGAAGCCTTCCACCATCTATTTTTAATTCCAGAAATTACTCCCCCTGTTACAACATGGGGTGCACATGCCTGTCATTTTGAACCTCATTAAAGAGTCACTTAAAGGAGTAACATTAGGAGCACAAGGTGGGCATGCAATTGCTCCCGTGTTCATTTTCTTGTTCCACTTCTCCCATTCTGTCTGTCTTTCCAAGCCATTTGTTGACCTGCCTCACACCCCAGCTTTGAAGGAGGTTAGCTTCAGCAGAGTTAAGTTACCTATTTGTTGACACTGAAAACACCATCTACAATGGTGTTTTCATTATGCAAACTCCTTGTGTACATATGTGAGAGCTGGAAGAGGCGAAATGTCTCCGCTGCTCATCGTTATTTTGAATTTAAGTGCTAAGATAAACCTGACCCCACTGAACAGAGCTGTCTTGAATTCAATAGTTTATGTATACACAATGTGGTTTTATCTAATTGCAGCATTACATAAATCCTGTCACAATAATCTACGTGTTGTGCATCTAACAAGCATTTAACATATTTCAAAGCTATGATTATGCTAAAGGGAAAACATGATTTAAAAAAAGGCATGGCACTGTGAAATTGACTATCCTTTCAAACATTCTCTCCCGATCTGTGTCACTGTTCTCATTAAATTGGATTTACAAACCGGTAAGTATTTTATTGTCTGCATAGTTAAAGGCAATGTTTGATGTTCCCACTGGTACAGCTTGATAGTTTTAAAAGAAAAAAAAATGTCCAGTTTTAGCTGCGTAATATTTTTCCTCGTTTTAGGAATCAATAGATAGGGAAATAAATAGCTGTGGATGCAAATGTTTATGGGAGTGTTAATATTGACTAATGCTCGACTGGAACAGAGAAAACAATAGTTGCCCCGCTCAGTAAACATTGCATAAATGCCTGTGACTGCTGCCGTGAAATTGGGTTATCAACTTTCAAAAAGATATTGATTCTCGATCTTAACAGCAGTTAGTGGTGAGAAAGTTTCGATTTAGTTGTTTTGTGAGACGGAGTAACCCGAATGCTTTGAGAGATGTTTTATTGGGCAAACAGACATGTTCCTCACAAACAAGTCACCTACTGATTCCATGAGTTTTGCAAATATTAGCTCACTTAAGAGCTTTGCTTTTACAAAACATACAATTGATTTATATTTAGGAGAAACTGTCCAGTTTTTTGGCATCAAGAGATCAAGAGATAGAACATTTGCAGGCTACGATGCACGGCACACTACTTGTTCTCAATGATGTGGTTAAAAACTAAGCCTCACTTTAAAATCATTGCTCTTATATTCTATACTTTTTACAGTTTTTAAACTAACGTTTTCAATAAATTAGAAGCGCAAAAATCTAACCCTTGCACTGCTTAAACGGTGATGTCTGGACAACTTTCTTCCTGTCTATGTATATATACAGTCGTGTTTAAGACCCAATCTTTAACCTTTGTGTTTAACCTTTGTATAAATTGTACTGCTTTTTTTTCAGAGTCTGCAATGAAGTATGCTGCCTAAAGCAATCTGTGTGGACGTGCTAAACTGACAGTTTTCAGCATAAACATCAACGCAGCAGTGATCTAAAAATGATGCAAAGTGATGTCAGAAAGAGAAAATAAGAACCGCTAAGTGTAAAAACAAAAATCAAAAAAGATGGGATTTGGCATCTTAGTTGAACTTTTAAGTAAGAAAAACACTCTAACTCATTTGTAACGTGAATTTTTTTCACTCGCAGAACGAGAAAGACCATTTTATTTCTGAAGAAAATTGAGGATTTGAAGCCTACTTTATGCCCAATCAAGCAAATGCGATTTACCCAAATCCCACCCCTACCCTGCAGCCTTTAGGGTAGATTCAGGCCACGCTAGGTGTAAATGATCTCCAGCACAGAGGGAGGCGCTATAAGGTGAATATTGCCACTAAGGTAACCAGCAACAAAGCAACCAGAGGACTTGTCTTCTGAAGGTGTGGTGCAGCATTTGTTTCACTTCGAGAAGGAGCAGCTGTTTCGTGACTAATTCCATCTACAAGATAGAAAGAAGAAAACAAGTGGGGTTATTGTGATGCTAAAGCAGACAAACTTTACACTTTGAATTATTCATACATTTTGGTATTGAAATATAAAAATGCAAACTGTCAATATAACGTATTTAATCATAAAATACTAACAGGTTACAGCTACAATTCTGGGGTTTGTATCAGAAAGTAGGAGTTGACATTTCTACATAAGGTTTCTGTTTTGGATTCATTTCCCAGGTGACCCTGTGGCTGTCTGACTGTGGCATCAGTATCTGTGTGCAGCCATGTGCCTGTTGCACCATGGGCATGACACTGAGCCACGCACAAGGACGCAGACAGAACAGAGGATCGGGCATTAACAAAACTACACAACTGTGATTAAGTTGGTGTGTTTGCTTTTGTAAGTGCTGAAAGGACACAGTAAGAGTATACGAGGGGTGAAGATTTTAAGTCTTCTCTTTCGATGATCATAAAAAGGAAATGAGCCAAAAGGAGGTTTCTCGGGTTAGGATGCAGGCGGGATGAAATAACAGGCAAACATGCACACAGGAATGTGGGCTTCAGAAACGTCCAAGCATCCAGACCTCCTACGTTTGGTTGTGCGTCACATTTATATAAAAGGTGTAATTATTATAAATTACAGATAAACGCTGTAAATATGACAATATTCAGGGAAAGCCAGTGAGTACTGATGAATGAATTTTGTCATCACATTGCTAAAAAGTTGTGTTCGTATGTTGTTCTCATTGAAAAAAAAATTGAAGAAAAATACATTTTGACATTTTTTATGACTTCAAGGTTATTTGCAAGGTCAAGTCGATGCAATATAGTGATTTTTTTACGCTGCATCACTTTTGCATCAGAAAGTTGCATGGACTTAAAATGTACATAGCAGCATGAACAATCATTAGTGCAAAGAATGGATAATACAAAAGTAAGGAGGTAAAAACCTTAAACAGCAGCAAACAAATATATTTTACTTGGGTAGTGTCAGTTGACAAAAAACATGGCTCTTGCATTTAGAATCCTCCGTGATGTAAAATAAAAAAATTAAAATAACTACAATTGACGATTCTGTTTTTAACATTTAAACACTAGTCTTTAACAAAAGCTCTTCATAAAAAATAAAAGCTATTCTGTATTTAAATACCCTACCCCTTTTTTGTTTGCTTTATGTTAAAGGAAAAAGAATAAAGGCCATTTTACTTTACACAATGCCTGTGTAAATGTCACTTAAGCCTTAACTAAGGTCAAAATAGTTACAAAAAAGAATACAATTTACCTTAAAATAAAGTGTCAAAAACAATAATAAAAAAAAATATTTAAGTAGCAAAATATTAACTTTAAATGTTTATATGTCAAACATTTTCTAAGGTGTTTTTTTTTATTCAATGTGAAACAAATTAACAACGAATAAAGCGGTTTGAGATTATCTTAAATTAAACTCATATTAGATGTAAAATAATGAAAATTACCTGTTTTGAATATTTTGTCTTTGTGTATCATCTATGATGAAGGTAACCACTAAATATACACCACTGACTACTAAAAATCTACTGTATAATTTGTAAAAAATAAGCAAATTCAGCAGTCATGTTCTGTTATCAACAATAACGAGTCAGTTGAATACATTCGAACACAGTCATGGTGCGTAACCAATACCGAGTCAATAAAATAACTCCTTGTTGTAATTAAAGACAGAGGGAGAACAATGGAATCAAAAACATCAAATATGGTTTTAAGTTGTGATAATTCTCTCTTTTTTGTTGTTTACTGTTGTTTTATTTTGACTGCTGGATGATTTTTGTGTCGTTTTAGACACAAATAAATTGGTGCTGAGAATGAAACATGTGGCTGATGGAGAGTTTTAACTCCCATAGCTTAGACTCGTGTACAAAGAGAAGAAAATACAAAAAAAGGAAAACATACTGTGCATTCTGAGCACAGCAAATCAATGATGTGCTGCAGAGCCAAACAGAAAGTCAATAAAGGATTAAGCAAATTTTATTAATGTATATCCTGCACATTCTTATCAGCTAATGATTTTTGGATTTTACTCTGATCATAATGAGTATAATCAAGTGACTGATTTATTGTATATGGATATGATCACTAAAGTAAAAATAAAGGTTGATAAATAATGAAGAAGCACTCAGCTGTGTGAATAATTGGTATAAATTAGCATTTTTGCATAAATGCATGTATACAGGGTATGTGTCCACCCACAAAAAGAATTACAGTAATATATTTTTATACATGTAAAGATAAATTGTGACATACCATGGTACTGTAAAGTAGAATCTGTTCAAAAGAAAATGTAAAGTGGCTTTGTAAAATAACAGATGAGCTTCCAGACATGCATGGCAGAACAACAAGAAGATAAGAGAACAAGGCACATGCAAGAATTCGTACAGAAAAGCAACAATGAAGCAGGAAACTATACTAACCTCGTAATTCTTCTGAATTGTCTACTTTGTTGTCTACGTCAAAGACACGGTCATGAACGCCTATAGTTTTCACACAGCCGTCTAAAAGAGAAAATAGGGAGAAAAAGACGTCATCACAGGTGTGTGCCAAATAGGTTAGTGGCAGTTTGAACCCCCTCTGAGCCCTCGAGATAAAACACCAGGAGCAGAAAAGCGAATGGAAACAGTCAGATGAATTAAACGATGGGATAATCCACCATCATCTTAATGTTTACATGAAACCTTTTGTATCCTTTAGCAAGAAAAGCAGTTCTGTGATACACAAAAGAAGCATTTTGGACCGTAAACAAAAGATAAATCAGGATAATGGAGAAACTTAACAATTAGTTTTAATTTGTTTGAGTTTTCAGTCCAAATATACTTCAACAAGCTCTATTACAAAGTCTTGTGTTGAGACACTTACTTGATGGTCGGACGAAAACTTTTAGCTTCAGGCACGTTTTCTTCCCATTTTGAGCAATGGTGGACGCTGTAAAATACAATAGAGACAGGTAGAGATGGTTACATTTAAATTAATACAAGTTTTGCATGTGCACTAAATTGGTAAACTTCTGCTCCAGGTTTCATCTGTATTTTATTTTTTCTTCTTTTTGTCGCAATAAATTTTTAATAAAAATATTTGGTTCTTGGAGACAGCAGAAGTACTTTTCATTAAGAAACATTACCGTTTTAGGATAGTTAATGCTGACATGTAAATGGATTATGTGGAGTTAGTCATAGTTCTTGTGGAATTATAGCATGAAAGTATTTACAGATGTGCAAGGAAATCTCTGTAGGGAAAAAGTAGAGGACTTTGCTCACAGTTTCATTGTGCATTTTAGAGACAGCAACTCAGTGGGAATAAATGATTGTGATAGGTTAAACACTTTAAACCAAGAGAGACTATTGTGTGAATGCTTCATATATACGTTGATGTATTTTTCTTCATAAAAAAATCTCACCACTTTTCACGGGACTCGGAGTTTGCACAAAGAGGATATACAGAGAGCGCTGCATGTGTGGATGGTTTGTGGTTGCTGTAAGGAAATGGATCTCTTCCTGACATGTCCACGGGGTGTGAATCTCTGAACGTTAGCTACCATAGAGGTTGTATTCTATCCACTAAAAATATCTCAAGTGGCACACATGCATGAGTGTGTGTGCGTGCGCGTGGGACAGAGCGGTTGACCACTAATGGTGTTGCGGTAAGGCACCAGGTGCTGTCTCCTGCAGACAAGGATAGGGTCAAACACATGTCACAGTTGGAGCATCGTGGGTGAGTTACAGCATACTGGATCTTAAAATTACAGGATGCTCTCTTAGGTTAGGACCCCATTACAAACTGAGACAAGTGTAGAGCCTTTCTACTAATATTATTTATTAGTAACATGTTTTAGTTCCAGCTTACCCTTCAACCATAACAAGGGTCTGCAACCTTTATGATCAAAAGAGCCATTTATGCCCCTTTCTTCACTAAATTAAGTTTGTCTGGAGCCACAAGAATCTGCTACAACTGTGATCATCAACTGGTGGTCCCTGGACCACTTTAAGTTTGTTGGAGGGGGCTTTTCTAGCCAGTAGGTGTGACTTTATAAAACTAAAAATATCAAATGTTTTTTAACATTTAATATTTGTACATTTTAAGATAAAAGACAAGACAAGATTGTTGTAAAGAAAGAAAAGAAAACTGTAGATTTGAACACCAAAGTTCATGCTCAGTGATCCAGGTATAAAATCCAACAATGTTCAGTCAGGTCATCTGGACAGTTTTTTTTTTTTTGCTGAGATGTTTCATCCGTCATCCAATGGACTTCTTCAATCTGAGGAGACACCAAACAAAAGTGATTCTCCACCAACAGCATACTCCACAGTAGAAAAAAACCGTTTGCTGGTGCTAAGATGGCCTCTGGGGCCCACCCTCTCCCTCGTCAACTCCATATGACCTGACTGAACATTGTTGGATTTTATACCTGGATTACTGAGAGGGCAGGCCCCAGAGGAGAGGGCGGGGCCCAAAGGAAAGGGCAGGCCCCGGAAGAGAGGGAGGGCCTCGGAGGAGAGGGCAGTCCCCAGAGGAGAGGGTGGGGCCCAGAGGAGAGTGCGGGCCCTGGAGGAGAGGGAGGGCCCCACAGGCCATCTTAGCACCAGAAAACTGTTGTTTCCACTGTGGAGTATGCTGTTGGTGGAGAATCAGTTTTGTTTGGTGCCTCGTCAGACTGAAGAAGCCCGTTGGATGAGGATGAAAGGTCTCAGCAAAAAAATAAATAAATAAACCGTCCAGATGACCTGACTGAACTTGTTGTATAGATTTGAAGAACTTTGTACAATTTTAAACCATTAACTATGAGGGCCTATGATTTTTTTTTTTTATTGTGGAAAAATTAATTATCCTACGTTGAAGAGATAAAGCATACAGTGTGTATGATTTACTCTTTGTATTGTTCTACTATTCACATATCTGCAAAAAATATAAACTAAAAAAGACTGGAATATTGTTAAAACGACCCTTTTCTATTTCAGAATAACAACCAATAAAATTCAGTTTTATGTTAGCTTTGGTCAAAGCTTGAAAGAGCTGCTGTAGATGGACCAAGGATCCACTTATGGCTCCAGAGCCACAGCTTGCAGACCCCTGAAGTATAATGTTAAGTTTACTTTGTTTTATATTTTCTGGTGTTCAGTTTTGTGTAATGTATTCAGACCTTTTCCAGCAATTTCTAAAATCTTCTCTTGTGAGCCTTTCTATTGCTCCAGTCCAAAACCATTGTGAGACGGGCACTACTGTAAATGTATTAGCAGTGACTCAATGGGAAAAAATTTAACCAAATTCTTGTCCCATGAAAAGGGACAGCTATCAACTAATTTTTTCAATCATCAAAGGTTTAAGAGCAGAACTTTAACATCGTGCCTCCTTTAAAATGTAGATAAGTGTCAAACCTCATTGAGAGTATTCATCGCTGTGTAGTATTTGAATTTTCTCATCAACCTAATTTGCTGGTAGGAGTCAGTCTGCAGTGAAAGTGAAACACGTCTGCACGCTACCATCAGTGAACAACTTTTCATAAGAATCATTTTCAACCAGCGTAAAACCGGAGTACTAAAAGATAACAGCATCTCACTGAAGATGTCTCATGGTAATGCCTACTTCCAGTCGATCCAGTAGAGCATCAGCTTGTTTTGCAGCCTTCCACAAAACGAGCAGGTGAGGATTAGATTAGCATATTTTGCTGCAAGGCTGGAAGCTCTGACACAACGAGCATTACATTTATACAACTGATATTTTCACATGCTCTCAGGCCCCACAATTTTAATTGAAAAACAAATTTATGAAGTTGTTGTTGTTGTGGCGGCGGTGGTGGTGGTGGTGGGGGTGGTGTTGAACAAGATCCACATGAGCAAACAAAGCAAATCAGGAAACACAATTTTGTTTGTTTTTGAAACCATTAGTGAAAAGGCCAGACTTCAGGGGTATCTGAGGCAGGCTTGAAACACAAGAGTCAGGGTGGCTTCTGGGTAATACCAGATGGCTAGGCCTCAGACTGACAAAGCCTCTTGGATGAGGGGCGAAACGTTTCTTTTTTAACAAAAAACGAAGTCCAGATGACATGATTCAACCTTTTTTGTTGTTATATACCTGGATGACTGAGAAAACAAACTTTGTGTTCAGGAAACACAATGTTTTTTTTTGTTTGTTTTTTGTTCTCTCTCTCTCTCTCGCTTTCACTACACCTTGAATTGAGTTATACAAGTATTTAGTTATTGTTCTGGATTCTCAAGGTGGTGGCAAATTAAAGCAGCCAAAATTGCCCTTTGATTAAAAAATATTAAGCGCTCAAGGCAGTCCGAAATATTTGATATTTTAGTTACTCAGTGTTGTTCACTGTCTTCTGAAACAATTGTTTCTGTTCAGTGATTTCGTGCAGAAAAATTGTAAGCTGTCACTGATGTGGCAAAAAGATTTCAACAAAAAAATTACTTACTGGTAACAATGGAAAAGAGAAGAGACAGAGCTCGGCTGTTTTCTAGTAATTCCCTGAATACCTTAGCGTGCATTAAACTGTCATCATATCCAGCTTCGTATCAAACTCGTATCTTACTTCTAACATACAAAGCTCTCAACAACTTAGCTCCATCTTATATTACAGATCTTATTGTTCCATATGTTCTTAACAGAGCACTTAGCTCTCTGACTGCAGGTTTACTTGTGGCTCCTAGAGTTTCCAAAAGCAGAATGGGAGGAAGATCTTTCAGTTATCAGGCTCCTCTCTTGTGGAACCAACTTCCAGTTTCTGTCCGTGAGGCTGACACATTGTCCAGTTTTAAGATTACGGTAGGCTTAAGTCTTTCTTTTTGATAAATCCTATAGTTAGGGTTGGCTTAGTTTCCTGAACTATCCTTTAGTTATGATGCTATAGGCTTAGCCTGTTGTAGGATAAACTGACCACATATCTTCACTATGCTACTGCCTTTACTTACTCTGCTCAACCTTTTTGTATTTGTATTTGTTTCTGTCCTTGACTTGTGTTTTTGTCTTTCTTCCAATAGGAGGTACACCTGCACCTACATCTGGACCTGCCATTCTGTGTTCGTTTGTCTCTCCTTCCTGTCCTCTCAAACCCAGCCGGTGGAAGCAGATGGCTGTTTGTCCTGAGCCTGGTTCTGCTGGAGGTTTCTTCCTGTTAAAGGGGAGTTTTTCCTTTCCACTGTTGCCTTTGTGCTTGTCAGGATGGGAGATTGCGATGAAGTGATGATTCAACGAGTCTGCTGGTTTTCTTAGATAGAAAACTCAACTAATTGTCTTGTCTATGTATGTGAATGTTTTTGTACAGTGCCCCTTCTGTTGTGATTTGGTGCTATATAAATACACTAAATTGAAAAACGGAATTGAATCAAACATACTGCACTTCCTTCTGGCTTCTTTACAGCTCCTCAAGCGCTCTCTGGCCCTTTCGCTCTATGACCTCACATTTATCATTCTAATTCTGTCACTTCATCAGCTGTTATCTGTTTCTTCAATACGTGTCACTGCACAGAAGAGGTCACTTGAGATCAGTTGCTGTTTGTCAGCTCAGTTCAGCAGATGCAGTAGGGGACAAGGGGAGAGACGAAAGAGAGAGAGTGGGCCTTATTATTTCATGTGGAGGCAGCTGATGACACGCTAATGAACCTTGGCCACCGTCGCTGACCCACTCAGTCACGTATACACACCAGAACCCACACAATTTATGTCACTCTTCTTATTGCTCCAATTCTTTACCCTCAATTTTCAGTGCCAAACCCACACACACACACCATCTCCACATGTTTTATCTTCATCATCCTTGTGGGCTGAGTTGACTCACAGCCATCGACACTGGCCACTTAGCAAAGGCTGCTGATCATGAGAGAAGTATGGCCCTGATGACAATGGGCAAAAAGCATGTGGGAGTCCCTCCCATGCTGCCAGTTTGCTGAAGCTGTTGTAGTGTTTATAAAACTGGCTATGACACT